ATGCCAACAAAATAACAACAGAATTGTTATAGAATTAGATGTATGTACATAATACTGTTGACAAACTGCTCGAAAAAACGTAACATAATCTGCAAGCAGAAGTAAATGACAGACTGGAGAAAGAAACAGAACAGATTTATGGTATAATCTGATAGTATATTGTCTACAGAAATCAAGAAGATCCTGTCGACATCACCTAGCACTAGACTGTCAGCACAAATCAAAATGTAAAATTTTGGATTTAAATAAGACTTGTACTCCAAAACGTAATTATAATCATAATTAACGATTTTTAAAACCCTTGGAATATAAAATTCATTAAAATCCAAAACAATTTTTTTATTCTGGTCCGCTATATTGATTTCGTTATTTTGAAAATAAATAGCAATTTTTCTTATAAATGTTAATCTTGAAAATGATCCTAGAGAAAACCTGCTATTTTAATTTTTGTAGGAGATATATGCATTTTTTATTTTTATCCTATTTTATGAATTCTTGACGAAGTAGGCGGATAAAGGAGGAAAACTCTTAAGAGTGTTTATTTTTTAATGAAGAATTTTATCCTTTATCTTCAAAATGAACCCAGCAAGAAGTTGTTATCCTTATTTTTTAGAAGAATATGAATTTTTAAAGGTTTAGCATATTTATGTGCCATCAGGCACGAGAAAGAGTTAAATTATCTAATTTCTTGGATTTTTATTAAATACATAGCGTCCCTGGTGCGCGCTCTTTGGTGACCTAGAGTTTAATCTTAAAAACCTATAAACGCGCTGCTCTGTAAAAAATACGTTTCTAATGCAAAATGTTGCTTTAGTCAATCATGGTCACACTCGTACTGATTGCGAATCGTAAATCAACTTACTATTTCGAAAAACTCTTGCTTCATGAATGGTCTCATAAGCGCAATGACCTTGTCCATTAACCAGGTCGCGTTCACCATATAGATCCCTTTTAGCCTCAACGGCACGCCTCCTTGAACGTACTCCAAGGATTTGCGAAGGGTGTTCATCGACAATCTGGTCAAGTGACCGAGTCGCATTTTAGCCATGTCCATAAGAATTATATATCCCTCCGAACAACCATTCGTATAAAGGCTCGCGTCATAGGACATGAACAGCAGCTTGATGCTGTCGTTGAATATGAACTGAGATGGCCGTGGATCCGCCAATCGATTAATGATTATCCAGTTACCATTTCGATCAGGCTTGGGAAGTATCGCGAATTCCCTACAATACACAGATAAAAGTTAAACGTTTTTAGTATATTTTAATGTATTAAACCGAGTATATATACACCTACGAACGATAAAAGATTTTTCTCGGTTATCAAGACGCTTATTAGTATAATATAGGTGAGTTGTGTCATAATTGAGCGATGTGGAAATTGTAGCGACAAAGATATCTATTGCGGTCGTGTATCAAATTAACTATTGGAAAGCATAGACAAAGAACAAGGCGAATCGAAAGAAAAGAGGAAAAGACAAACAAAAATCGCTCTCCATCCATGTAACATTTGTAACAATTAATCATTGCAATGAAGCAAAGACACAGACGATATCTAATATGTTTTCATTATCACAAGTCGCATCGAATTGAAGAGCTCGATCCGTTTAAAAATAAATATTAAAAGTTTTTTTAAATAATTTCCGCAATTTCTGGTACCTGCGATGTGAGAATTGTACATACGCAACGCAAAAGATAACACTTCCCATTTATTTGCAAATCAATGTTCTTCTTCCATGTTTATTTATTGTTTAAGTAAATAAAGATTATTTAAGAGGTGCTAATAAGTGCGTACAAGGTTTTCAGAGAGTGTTGCAAATCGAGGTTGGAATCTCTATTGTTAAACAATTCCGGGATCGTGGCTCGCATGCTGTAGTATACGTTCATGCATCGTCTAGTGGCCTCTATGTCGAAGTAACAACTGTGCGCGAATAAGGCCAATTGTTCTTTGGGAATATTGGGAAGGCCTCGGTCATTCGCCCATTTTTGCAGACAGTCCAAAATCTCGTCCGTGATTTCTGGATATTTCTTCCGCGAGTCTTCGATTGTGTGACCGAGTCTCATTCTATAAGATAAATCGTATTATAATATAATTATATATAATATAATAATTTTAATAATCATTGTATAATAATTGTATATAATAATCTCATTATATATTTCATTGTACGACTAAAAAGACTATCTATTGAAATTAATAGCTTTCTTATTAATGTAGACACGCGAGGTAGTGAAACAAAGGAAACCCAAAGCGTAAAGTTAAATGGCTGAAATACGGATCATTGGTTCCCCGCGTAATAGAACTTTCACCGCAAATGTAAGAACCGTCGCTTACAAATAGCTGATATGTAATTTCGCTTGAGCGACGTCACAATAATTACTATTGCGCAATCTCAATGTTTGGATCAGAACTAAGATTATTTCTGGCATTCAATCTTATATTTAAAAAGCACCCTGCAAATGGGAATGGATTAAAATGGATTCAGATTTTCAGAAATACGGATTCATGAATGTTAAAATAAATTCTTTTCAATCCCGAATTCATTTTTATTCATTTATAAGAAATGTATAAAACTAATATCTATTCCTTCTCAATCTTGAATGCATTTTTATTCATTTATAGGAATGGTATCGAGTATATTTTTATGTTTTTTAATTTAAAAATAATATTATAATATTTTGTGTGCATCGTGGATCCTGCTTAATTTAAAATTCTGAATAGGAAATGTAGTTTTTCGATCAAGTTGAATCTAAAAATAATGTCGGTTATTTCCGTGTATTGTGATCTGTTAAATTCAAAATTCTGAATAGAAAATGCAGTTTTTTAATCCAATTGAATAAAAAAAGTTTTTCTTTTAATGGGCCATTTTCTCAAAATGAGTCATGAATGTTATTTAATTCAAAATTGTGAGTAGAAAATCCAATGTTTCATTAAAAAATGCATCGTTTTTATATTTTTATTAAACACTCATTTTTACGTTAACTTATGCATAACGACTTTAATGTGCACCATTTCGCATTACTAATAGACGTATATGTAATCTATATGATGCCATTTTACAATTTTCGCAATAGTTAACAAGATAGTACTGCATTTTCTAATTTTTACCAGCACGAGAAAATACGGTATTAAAAAATTCTGAAAAAATTCTCAGAACTTTACGAGAAGAAAATATGATACCTCCGGCAAATACGCCGCGCTGGGATTTACGCCGCAGAAGTCAGAAAAAATAGAAGGAGTGGG